CCAGTAAAGACCATATTATAAGCATCTTGCAGTCTTCTTGCTGTGTGAAAAACCATGTTCTTCCCTCTTCCCTCATTCATGATGAACACGTGTTCTCCAAAGCAGCTTTGAGTTTGGATGTGTCGGACCTACTTTGATACTCGATGTGCAAAAATATTTACAACTGAATTTTGTCTTTAATTCCATGAGAACTGGGACAAAGAGAAGTTTATTGTGTGGTCTGGTTCTCTTCGTAATGATAGAGGGATGGTTAACTTTCTGGGTGCAGCTTTGAACAAGAGACAGTGTGTTTCAAAGTACGCAAAAGGGGGACGCCAGTTTTCTGAACACTTTGCTCATGTTGCTTCTCTGCACTTTCCCCAGGAATGCCCCAGCGGTGTCGTTAATGAAGAAACTTTCAAAGAGATTTACTCCCAGTTCTTTCCACAGGGAGGTGAGTACAAATGTGGCCTTGTTCACACACCCTCCGAGTTAGAGTTATGCTTGCAATCTTGACTTTGGTTTAATTTTTTCATAGGGTGACTCTATATTTTTAATCTTTATGTAAAATAATTAATTCATAGCATGCAAGTGCCTATCATTTTGAACATATCATAAAAGCAAGCTACTTACAAATTAACAAATATCCAAGAAGTCGCCCTTGAGTTGAATACAACAAGTATTACCGTGTGCCTGGTACTATGCACAGTGCTTTCTGCCTATTACGAGGACCCGCCAATGCCACAGAGCTCATTTGTAGGCAATATAGGTCCCATTTGAATCTTCCAGCTCTCAAAATTAGGACAAATGTAATTATTCTCCGTTTACAGATGTGAAATCTGGGGCTTAGCAAAGTCGAATGGTTTGCTCAGGGCCACATAGCAACTCAGTGGCAGATCTGGGTTATGACCCAGATTTTCTGCAGCCTCACTCAGTGCACTGTCTGCTGTCACTCTTTCCGTAACTCATTACTGTGTTCCCCTCATTGGAGAAAATTAAAATCATCCTAGATATTATTTTAATCTAAAACACAAGGGCAGCACCACAATCACATAAGCGCTTTAGATGAGCTTGAAGAGGTGCATTTTCCACTGGAACTTATCATCCTGACCTTCCACTGACTTTCAGTCATGCAACAGACGCCCAGCTCACACGTGTCTCACAGCCAACTGTGTCC